CTATGATTCTATGATTCTATTTTAAAACCATATTACAGGTAGATTGTAGTTTTGCCTTCTTAACATGAGTCTATCATTGCTGTGGTGGCTGCAACCAACTGGGAAATCAAGTGTTCACCATGTCAGACAGGCAGTTTGATAAAAACTTCAGAAATAAAAAGTATGTAAATGTTCAGTAACTTCACAGTTCTTATAAGCTGCTGGCATGTGTGTTACCTGCATGCTCTCTACACTTTGCTTCTTTCATTTCATCCTTAGCAAATTCATCTTGCAAGCCAGCTGCCTGGGTAAGACACAAATGCCTATGAAATTAAAAAGATAAAGTTAAACTCATATTAGAGGTCTGAATTTCCTCTCTAAATGGTCCTGAGCAATCTTTTGGGGTGGGGAGAAGGACATCCTTTCTGAAAGGCATTTGCTGCTTAACCATAAATGCAGAATAGCGCAATGGTTTAAAAATGTAACGGAGGCAGCCAGGTAGCTTAGTGGCTCATAAGCTGCTCTTTTTTATTCTTCGTGCCTAAGTTCGACTGTGTTCATGAGACTAAAAGAAAACAAATGTTATAGGCTCCAACCGGTCCAAGACTCAAACCACAACTGGCAGCTCCTACTTAAAAGCAGTCCAAAGTTTGGAAAGGAGAGAAAAATGGTCATTTCTTAAGACTTGGAATTTTTTTATGCAATATGGCCAAAATCACTGAGCTGGAACTGGAAAATGAAGACAGATCATCCCTATTGTTACATTGTACTTTTGATACCATTAGTGTCGACATTTTGCAGCTAAATTAATCTTTCTCTAGGGAACAAGTTAAATAATTTCAGTATAAAATAAACTAATACTACAGTCATCTCTACAGACAGACCTATCCCAAGGCCTCTTCCTTACTCAGTAAGGTCATCAGTTTCACTTGAGATTGCAAAACCCCATATATTTGCATATTAATCTTCACATCCTTAAACATTTTGTCAACAGTAAAGGAAAAATCTACTACTCAGCACTTGGTCTAAGAAGTCAAGTCTGAGAAAATTACAACAGAAGGAAACTATTTCCAAGCCCCAGTGGTATCCCCACTAAAAGAAAATGAGTGTCACTAGGTCTTCATAGATTATTAAAGAACCCAATTTCTTCCCTCAATTTTGGTATTTAGGAGGTTACAATGTCACTGTCATCCTTCGGAGATAGAAGTCTCACATATACTCAGTCAAATCCTGCCTCCTCTCAACTAGGAAACTACCTTGGCTTTGTTGTGGGAGAGCCCAAACAGCTCTAGACTCAGAAGGTGGCATTGTCTTTTTAAAAAAATAATCACTTTTGAATCTGTAAAGGCATCATTTTACCTGCGTTCTCTCAGAATCTGAAGTCTGCTATCAATCAGTTTTTTCACTAAACTGGTATTTTCTTCTTCCAGGAGCTGAACAGAGGCTTTCAAATCACTTATTTCCTTTTGGTATATCTTAACCTTTTGACAATCAAAAAAAAAAAAAAAAAAAAAAGATCATCTTTCTTCAAAAGACTATACTCATTTTTGGGAAGCTTTCATAGTAACTCTCTTAATAGCACATACCTAGAAAGAACGCAGCTGTATCAGCAAGACTGCACATTGGGTGGAGAAACATGTGACACATTTTCAGGCAAAGGGAAGACTTCTCTGGTTCTTTCCCACCTTTATTGGAACCCTTTACTGGCACAACTCTCTCAGTCACAGCCACACCTTTGGGCTATGCAACCCTGGTAGCAAAACCTTCTCATGTAGGCAAACAGTCCGACAGACAGAAGCTCTGGAATTTTCCTATTTTGCTTTCACACCAGAGCTTCCAAGAGAAAAACCTTCTTTGCAGAGTGAAGTTCAGGCTCTTGCTCAGCAAGTGGTGCTGTTCTAATTCCTGCCTATCCCCAAAACCTTCTCACCCAGAATTAGTGAAGCTTTCAGTCCCAGTTTGCTGACATTGGCTACAGCCCAGGCTCTACTTTCTTTTGGACTGGGAATCATCCCGTATCGCGATGAAGTTATATTAACCAAAGGATACTAGTTATTCAGTTCCCACAATCATTCTCACTTTTCCTGAAGTACGAGCAAGTTCCTACCACTTCACCGGGAAGTACTATGGGATGGATACCTTCCCAGACATCTTGGCCATACGTACATGTTTAAAAACAGTACCTAGTGAACTGAATGCATCTGTTCGCACCAAAGTGACATTAACCCAGCTACAATCATCCAAATTTGCAGTTAAAAACTAGTTCTCGTTTCTCTCAGGGATTAAAAAAGGTGAAAATGACAGGACATTAACCAGTAACAGGATGTGGCTTGGCTCGACGAGGCGATGCAGCTTTGCACCATCTTAGTGCGACACAGTAACCATGGAAAAATGTGACTGAAGAAGCCAAATCTGTTCAAATTTGGAGGTAAATAGTTTAGGACTGGTTTGGTAAGTCATTTTTCAGTTCAGTGGCCAAAATGAGAAAAATTATAAAATTTGAACCAGGACAAAACTGAAATTTTTTATTTATCTCCCCAAAAGAAAGTACTGGAAGAGCCTGTCAGCTATATATAAACATCAGCCTGAAAGAAAATATTTCATCTGTGTAAGAAAAGCAGAGAAAATGAATGGGTGAATTCAGAGGACTGGAGAAGTCAGTGATAATAGTTTTGTTTTCCTCAATAATTCAAAGCACTAATTCATAACCTAAGAAACTTCTAGTTGAGAGGAAAGAAGTCCAAATCCCTCAACTCTGAGGTGAGGGCCTGTCAGGACGTAAGAGTACTCCAAAGTGGATCTCCCTTATTGACACTGCCTAATGTGTGTGAAATTTGTAAGTGTTCGGTGAGACAGGGAAATGGGAAGGGAATTCATGCTCATTCAGTGACAGGATGTATAGATTGGAGCTCCTGTTTGCTTGTACAGATTAAAACATTCTTTCCTATTGACCCCTACTTCATTGCCTCAGAAGCTGTGGTTTGGACACCCTCCCTGGAAAGTTAAAATTTTATTCTCAGAGCTCATTAAGGGGAAGAAGGAAAGCCGTATCCCTGCATACTGGCAAGTATCTTAAACTGGTAATTAAAATGGAGAAACCTCTGCCAGGTTTGTTGATGTGGCACCGAAAAAGAATAAGTTCATTTATTAATTTCCCAAAAAGTTTTGCTAAGTTCTTAAACTGTGAGGTTGTAAAGGTGGGAAAGGGTTTTTCCTCTCTCCAAAATCTCTTGCTTAGATTTTATCACAACAAAGAACCTGTATTGATTGGAACAAACACAATCAAACTTTCACCATGGAGCGATCAGTTTCCTGTATTTGGCTCACAAAAAGTTTTTTATTGACCAGAAAAATTACAACTGTCTAATACATAGCTCTAAATTAAAGGACAGTATAAAAGCTATCAAGCAATCAATTACAACTATATAAGATTTTTATTTTCCTTTCTTCAGTGTACTAATCTCTAGGGCTTTATTATCTCCCATTTAAAGCTGTCTCAAACCCTTTCTCCAAAAATGTTTCCAACATCCATTCCTATTTTCTTCCAATAAAGCAACACTAGAACTTTAATGCAATTCAAAAGTACCTTTCAGATACTTATATGATTGAGCCTTTACCCTATGTAGTATCCCAGCCTCCATAGATATAAATACTTTGTTGTACAGAACGTTGTAGTCCATCCTATAACTGCTTGGGCAGGAAAAGGGGTCCTTCATTTATGAAACTAGATGTTCACCTTTCAACTTTATTCACCACATACGCTGTTTGCTACTCAGGATTGCAGATTAATTGCAGGAAAATTGCTCTCCTTTTCCTGTGAAAATCTACAGAGGCCCGTCACTGGAAGCAGTTATGACTGTAGGCCATGGTGTTTCAAACCTGAACTACCACGATAAACTGTACACAAAGTGATCCTCTTACCTCTTCTTTTAGCCATTCGTTCTCTTCAATTTCTCTGCGACAGTTTTTGTCTAAGTATCTTACAGCATTCTGAGAAAACACAATTTAAGATGGTCTCTTCTGAAAGCAGGACTTTGACAGTGCTGCATACTATAAAGAACCTTCTGGTGTTTAGCAGGAAATAATTAAGAAACATCCACACAACAGACTGTAGCATCCCCTGAGGGATTACAAGGGTTTTAGTCCACAAGGCCAGCTGTTTTTTCTCCATCATGCTGCCGAGTGCAGTTTACATGTCAAGCAGTTTACCAATATTTTATAATTCCCCATGTTAAAATAAGACATTTCCTTTTTGCCTGACAAGTTCTGCTATATTCCCACTACTGCTCAAACCTTCCTGTTTTCAGGAAATCAAACCTTTAGGTGTTAAAAAACCCAAGCAAAATCACAAATGAGGCAGTACTGATCTGTGGCAAGTGACTTAAACCTGTAGAGGTCTATGCTAATGAACCAAGGCTACAAGTATAGTGGGAAGTGGAAAGCAACAACTGGGAGGGAGGCAGCATTTGCAGATCACCATAAACACACTCCTTTGGATTATGTTCTCACACGACTGAATATTCCAGCACTGAAGTCAGTGAATTTAAATACCTATTGGGCCCAACTGGTGATTCGTACAGACGTACGCTTTGCATTTCATGAGTGTAAGAAGTCGTCATCATAAATACTTTGTAAATCACGTTTGCAAATCAGAGCTGGCAGATATGACCAAAAATCTGTGTTTCAATAAGCCTGTGTTTTACTGTAGACTGTGCTATTTTGGCATTCTAAAAATGTTGTAATTTAAAAGTACAAAACTACCTTTTTTTCTTTTTTTTTTTCAAATTGATGAATATTTCCATGCAGACAACCTCTTAGTGTGATACTGTTTTTTGAAGTCTGTGCAAACATCAAAATTGAGGTCACAGCAAAAGTGACACGTTCTTGGACAAGTCATATCAGTGCATGGTGCCCCAGTTTTCCATACCTCGTTTGCAAAATGCCTTCACATCTACTCATTGTTAGTCTGATGTAAAAAAAAAAAAAAAGTACGTGTCTATAACAATAACCAATGCCATGTTTAGTAAGAAGATTTACAATTTGTTTTACTGTCAATTTATTAGAAAAGGTCTAAGTCTTAATTCAAGTTACAATAATTATTAATGCAGAGTACATGAATCCTAACTATGATGCAGTTAGCACTTTTAAAAAAGGAAGAAGGAATACCTCAGGAGCCTGTTCCTTACTTAACTTGATGTGCGTCTCAATCAGTCTGTCATTTTCTTCTTTCACTGCTTTCAAAGCATTTCTATAATGTTCTTCAAAACAAAACAAAACAAAACAAAAAGAAAATCGGAAATCATCATTTGACTTCAATTTATCCTGACAACAAAAAGAAAATTGGCATGTTGTTCATAAGCTGGAACTTAGCAGCCAGCATCACATGCATAGATGCTCCTCAGAAAAGGATTCAAACCTCCTTCTCCATAGAACTTGTTCTCTTAAACCCAAAGGACAGAAATGTTAACTACCAAACTAGAAATCTGAAGTGGCTTACGCATTTCTGTTGGCAACTACAACAGCTGAGCAATTCACTGCTCATTGAGCACCGAGGTGAGCAACTGTCTGCTAAAATATTGGTATTTTAACACTAAATTTTATCTCTGTGAATAGCAGAGCTCCTGGAGTCACGTGAGAGGTTTGCTTAGAAAACTTATTTTTTACCTAGAGAAGTATATTGGATCATCTTACACACACGGTGTTGTTTCAGACAGTTATTCTACAGAGCCTAAACAATCTTCTGACATATCTAAGCCTTCCAGGGGTTTCTAATTCAGCAACAGGACAAAATGGAGAATACGGCGATTGCCTCCAAAAGGAGTGGGTTAGCAAGAACCTTATTAAGTTCAGCAAGGACAAGTATAAGGTCTTGCACCTGGGAAACACAATCCAGGAGTGCAGCCCAGGCTGCGATCTACCTGGCTGGGCAACAGCTCTGTGGAAAGAGACCTGGGGGTCCTGGTGGACAACAAGCTCAAGAGGACTGAACAGTGTTCTGCTGTGGCAAAGAAAGCCAACAGGATGCTGGGTGGCATCAACAAGGGCATCACCAGCAGAGATAAAGAAGTCATTACCCTACTCTATTCAGTCCTTGTCAGGACTGTGTTCAGTTTTGGTCCCTGCTATACAAAAAAGAGGAGGACAGGCTCAAGATGGTCCAGAGAAGGGCCCCACAGATGATCAAAGGACTGGGAAGGCTGCCATATGAGGAAAGGCTGAGAGAACTGGATTTATTCAGCCTTGAGTAAAGAAGGTTTAGGGGAGACCTTATCACCATGTCCCACTATCTAAAGGGTGGCTGCAAAGAAGATGGAAACTCCCTTTTCACAAGGAATCACATGGGAAATTTTTCACAGTAAGAACAATCAGCCATTGGAATAATCTCCCCAGGGAAGTGGATTCCTCAGCATTGGACACTTTTAAGATTCAGCTGGGCAGGGTGCTGGGCCATTTTGTTGGTTGAAGAAAGGTTGAACCAGATGATCCTTGAGGTCCTTTCCAACCTGGTATTCTATAATTCTATAATGATGATTCTTCTTTTCATTCTTTCAAACAGATAAACAACCTGAGTTGTACTGGGAGAATGAAGACAAGGAGGAACTGTTCAGACATACTTACTGTTTCTAAGAGGGCTATTTTCCATAACTCTCTCACTGCTAAACAGTTTTCCCCACACCTCACATAAGTGTATGGCTTTTTTTCTTCCTCTCCCCTTCAGCAATTTTGTTTAAAATGTCATCTCCAGACCACATGAGCTGTGCCAGCATCAAGCCCTTCAGTGGTACCTACAGAGACAGAAACCTCTTCACCTGTGCTTATTCCCTAAGCCTGTTACACACTCGAGGAGTGAACAAGCCCAATTTGCTGCTGCATCACTCTGGAAACTTGTTAGATTTTTTTTTTTTGGTAGGATAGAAGACTGTACTCCCCAGCCACTTCATAAGTTCAGTTTTAGGAAGCTGAATAAAAGAGTATGCTAACATCCAGTACTGGCAGCATCATTTTGCAGTATGCTAATTAGGTAACTGCTATAGGTACCTCTGTTACAGTCTTGCTATAAATACACTTCCATTTGACTACAAATTTTTGGCTCTGTACCCTGTGACATGCAGGAGGTCAGGCTGAACGCTCCTACTGGCTCATTCTGGCCTTCTATATAAAAGCCCATTCTCTTTTTCACTTCATATAGCAGCAGCTGTATAGCAAAGTTTTAAACTGCCTAAGAACACGGGAAATGCGTAACGAAGAATACTAACCTCTGCTGAACACAGAGATGGATATCTGACAAGCTACCTGGCGCTGCAGAAAACACAGTGCAGATCTTAATTGTGATAAAATATGTTTCAAGAAACAAAAAGATAGCTAGCTGGCTCTTATCCACAGTAGTTGATGCCTGGTAATGGTTGGCACAGAATATACAGAGACCCTTAGAGCAGTGTCACTGCCTGTCACTACCAGCTGCTTGGCTGCGGTCATGCATACTGAAAAGGGCATAAAGGAAGAAAACCAGGACATCCTTCTCCCGTTAGAAGCATGGGTTGTGTAACAGCAAAATATTTAAATGATTTAAAAATAATGCAGTAGTAAAGAAATCTTTGTAAAGCATTCAGCACCAGAATACATAAGCTCTCAAATTAATTCCACTGTTGTGTCAGTATTGAAACGGTTCCCAGTATTTGTGTATGTCTGTACTGGCAATTTTGCAGGGCCTCACACACGAGACTATGCAACTGGGAGGCAAAGCTCAGGCCACTAGCTAAACAGCTCCCTCTACTTCTGCATTTAAACCACTATGATCAACTCAAAACACTTTTGTGTTGCAAGAATGAGCTCATACTACTTTCCTGTCAAGGGAGTTTTCAACATGTGAAGCACTTGAAGCATGATGAGGAGCACCAAGAGAGGAGTCACCATTTTCCAGTATGACTGCTAAGGGAGTCCTGTGTGTAGGCGACCTAAATACATGTAGGCTTATTTTTAGAATACCGCTGTCCTTCACAACAACATTTTTTTACAGACAGGTTGCATATTTTACAATAAAATCACCAGAAAACAAGGTTATCAGTTTCTTTAAGTGCTCATAATTTCTGCAACTTCATGACATTTTTAATCACGGGACTTTCATGGAGTTAGAGAGAGAGTTCTTCCACTTTATAGGATTATGTGGTCTAGTTTAGGTGCACTGTCTTGCAAAAGCTGACATAAGTTACTATAACTTGACATGAAATTAAATTTATAATTTAATTCCCAGAAGTAATGCAGAAAGAGCTTGCAAGACTTGCATTACTTTAGCTGTAAACTGACCTGTAGCCCTCTGAAGATTATCTTTGACTTCCTTGATGTCTTTTTCCAGATTCATAATCTTGTTGGCCTCTGTTTTACTAATTACATTTATGTACTCCAACCAGTAATCCCTCTCACTCTGCTTTACTGAAAGTCTTTGGTCAGTTTCTTCAATCTGGGAGTGCAGATCTATTAAAGTAAGAACGTCAGAAGACAAGTTCATTACCAATTTCTTGAACCGATAGTTCATAATTCCTATGATTTCATCAAATTCTTTAATGAAGGCACTTTCACTGGGATTGCACAAAGAAGGCTGATTCTTCTACACGACAATACATTATGACACGATGGCCTTACATACTGTCAAGGGCCACTATCACTGTTGAAAACAGCTTGATCTTATTCTGCCAAGGAGAGACAGCAGTTCTCACTGCAGTGCTGTAACCAAAGACACATGTGACTTCGCTCCCGCTGGGAATCATAGGGATGGCAGCCAGAACTTTCAGCAATCAAAACTGCTCATTTTTGCTGCCATGAATAATTTTTTTTTATCTTTCCTTGGAGCCAGTGCATAGGGCTTCCATGAGTTTCAACTTAATGGAAAATATGACGCCTCTGCTCTTGCACAGTAATATACATGACATGGAAGGAACAAAACAGAGTCTAATATACAGGATCTGTTTCTATAAAAGACTCAATTCTTTTGAATTTTAACTCAACTTAACTAACAGATGTACTTATAAGCCCTCCACAATCTCGTACCACATTTAGAGAGCTTAAGTTTGGGGATGAAAAGCTTTATGCTTTTTATATAACAAGGAAGTTGAATCTTTAAAACCTTCATTTAAAATGAAAAAAAAAAAAAAAAATTACTTAATCCTAACTTTATAAACTGCAAATCACACTTCCACAACTCACAACATACCTTTCAGAAGTTGTTCTTTGTCCTTAACATACTGCCATAATTCTTTCAGTGACTCTTCCACATCATCCCTAGTTACAACCTCTTTTTCATCTTGTTCTTTCTCCTCGTCTTCTATTTGTCCTAGTATGTACCTGACGTGTGCCTGCTGTTCTTCCTTCAGAAGGTCATTCTATGAAAGAACAGAGGAAAAGGGATGTATTAAAACATTTTCAAATTAGTTCTCAAAGTCACAAACCTAAGCAATGAAGAAAAGTAAAATCTGACCTAGTGCCAAGATGCACTGCAAAACCACTCAGCTAAACACCTGTTCTCCATATTCAAAAGGATGGAGTGGAAGAGAGAGTCTGCAAGTCTCAGAAGTTTCTCAGTAACTTTTATTTTATTTAATAAATAAAATTCTCAGTGACTTCAAGACCATTACAAGGGAATGAGAGTCAAATGACTGCTGTGCTCTAGTTGGAGCAGGACATGAATAGTCCTTCATTGCCTGGAAAGAAAGTTCCTTGTGAGTCGATTTAATAATAAAAATATTTATTGGTAGGAGTAATTCACTTCAACATTCTTCATGACAATTTACCACCTTCCTGTAGCAATGACAGACAATCAGGTCACTTGTACATAATCACAGTAGAGTCTTGTCAGAACTGGAATTGGAACTTGTTACACCTATTGACTCCACAACTGTGGTTATATCCCCTTGCCATGACCCTTTTCAGTGACACTCAAATTATTTGAAATTGCTGATGGTGTAACACTTGCTCCCAAAGGATAGCATAAAGGAGCAAATAACCATACCAGCCAAACTGAAACAGTAACCGTGCAGTAGAGAGTCTCAAACATTCCCTGCTTCTAAAAGAATTAACTTTAAACCACTCAGAAACATTAAGCAGAAAATAAAGAAAGGAGCTCAAAGAACAGTCAAAACATGGGTGAATTAAACAAATAGCACTTCAAGCATGCCCTGAAGTACCTTGCACAGCCTAAAATACGAAGGAGTCCTTGAGAGAGTATGACCTAGCAGCAAATTGGGGGAATAATCATGAGAGACTTCAGATGTCTGCAGAGAGAAAAGCCAAATGCCGCTTCCACTGATAGTTAAGGCCACCAATGAAACACAATCCAGACTTCAAGACTGAAAGAAACACCAAGGAAAGCTAAACAGATGGATACTTACAAAAACAGCACAAGGATCAGGCATGGGAAGGACAGAGAGACATTGTTTCACTGCCACAGCAAGTGCAGGCTGCAACATCGTTTAACCACATGATCCAGTTCAAGGATTTTTCAGGGATTTGAATTCATTGAATTCACCAACTCTAACCATTCTATGATTCTATGATTCCGTTAGGCGACTGTATATATATCCACTTCCAAAGTTCACTGCCATCTCAGTCACCAGATGCCATATGCATTCTTTATGCATGGTTCTTGAAAGTGTCACGCAGCTGTGATCAGTAGTTACATAACTTTGTTACTAAAGGCTACTCAAAATAACTCTTAATTCACAGGAAAGTGATTCTTCATCCAGCAGTGCTAAAAATTGCACCTAGACAATCATGTGATGCTCTTTCTTCTTTATTAAGTTTCCATTGTAACGAAGTTTGCCGGAATAACGAAACTCTCATGGATACCTGTGCAATTCCATTACCTCAGAAGTGAATCAAAGAAGGCCCGTGAGTCTCTTGGTTAGATCTGCTAATACTACTGACAAGAACGAAGGTAAAATCGTTTATTCTTGGTGCGCTGAAAGCGCATTCTTGATTTCCTCAAGGAATATTCACAGGGTTGTTTAAAAAGGCACATCTGAACGCAGCGAAGTTACCTGCTGAGAGGGGGTTTGCTGTCCTGTGTCTGGGGCAGAGCGAGGTTAGATACTCAGGTGGTTCCTGAGGACCTGATGTGCATTGGAGAACACCTTCACTGAATTCCCTTTACCTTACTGCTGTGTCAAATTCTGCAGTATGCTATTCCTGCAGCAAGTTTGTTGCATAGTTATATTTAGGACACTTTATGTCACATTTAGTTCAGGCAATAACTTTTGGGCACTTGGTGACTCACTAACTCTAGTTTCCTTGACTGTAAGAAACTCAACTGCAATGAGTAGTTATAGTAAAGGTAGTATTTGGATTGAAAGAATAAAATTGAATCTGTGAGTTAAAATAGCACATATGAAATGTGTTGGGAGAACGAGGCACGGTCACTTACTCTTTCACGATAGTCTCTGTTCTTTTTTTCCACTTGTTTCAGATCAAACAAAACTTGGTCAATTGCTGCTTCTTTTGTCTCAATTCTGTGGAGAAAGAGTAGAGGAAAAGAAGTTCTTACAAAAACTGAAGAGAGGAATGTTGTTTAAGCTAGATTAGATGTAAATGCTACTTAATTGTGTTTGGTTTGGGTTTTTTTTTGTTGTGGGTTGTTTTGGTTTTTTGGGGGGATCACGGTGCTAGATTAATTTGGGTAGATACCACTGTCCACTTACTACACATAAAACCAAATATTTCCCATATACATAGAATCATAGAATGGTTAGGGTTGGAAGGGACCTCAAAGATCATCTAGTTCCAACCCCTCTGCCATGGGCAGGGACACGCTCCACAACACCAGGTTGCCCAAAGCCTCATCCAACCTGGCCTTGAACACTTCCAGGGATGGGGCAGCCACAACTTCTCTGGGCAACCTGTTCCAGTGCCTCACCACCCTCTGAGTGAAAAATTTCTTCCTTATATCTAATCAAAATCTGCCCTCTTTCAGTTTAAATCCATTGCCCCTTGTCCTATCACTACATACCCTTACAAAAATCTGAACCTTCATAAAAATTTGGATCTCGTATTCCTACTGAGAAACTGACACCCTGATTACACTGTTCCTTTGTAGCCACTAGAGAGGATTGAGCTGGTTTATTCCTTTCTGGCCGTGGCTTAGCTGACCTACTGCACAGCTCTCTTTTAGTACAAGATTATTTGTGCTCCAGAAATATTTATTACTCACCACTCACTACAGAGGAAGCCTATGCAACTCACTCAGACATAAGTCAGACGAATCCCAAACTGGAGAACTAAGAAGAATTCAATTCTTCTGAAAATGTGGTTTGTTGAGCTTCATAAACTGCATTTGCACACCAAGAACTTGTCAGCCTTTGGGAAGCACTAAGGGAATAGGGACTGCAGCCTGAGCAATTTCCTTCAAGTATGGTTCTGCATTTTTGGCAAAGAACTAGCTCACTGCTTTCACCAATTTCATGGATTACTTGTTGTCCTTTTTGCCACAGCTGTAAAATAAGCATTTTTTTCGGGTGTTCTCCCTTCTAAAATGAGAAACACTGGGTTGCAAATGGTGTCTGTTCACAAAGTTCTCTGTAATCTTCCTCTCTTCCTGGAATTCATTTACCATACGGCGCAATAAAGGCAAGTATCACAATGATTACAATAGCTTTTACTGTTTCAACAGCTATTGTTCGTTGGGTTGTTGTTTTGGGGTGGGTTTTTCGCCCCTCCCTACTGTATTAAGTTGTTTTAAAAGAAGATTCTTTTTTTCCTGGCTAAGTTTAGATTACTCACTCGTGTAAATTGACAGTTACCAGGTTTGCGCCCTCTGGTGTCAGCACGCTCCAAGGTATTTTTCAGATTTTCTGTTAAGTACAAGGATATTAGAGAGGCTGGAACAGAGATATAGTGGTATGGTGGTGACAGCTATAGCAAAAATATCTCACTTATTAGACAGAGGTGACAGCTTGGCCACATGCTGTGACCTCCTAAATCACCTGCCATTTCAAACCATTTCTGTATTTTGAATACTGATGGTGATCTTAATTTCTGCTACTTCAAGATTTTCCATGAAGCGGTAATCTATATCTGTCACTTTGTTAACGTCAAAAATTTATATGAGTAAAATTTGTTATTTTGCCTGCTACATATCATAGAATCATAGAATGGTTTGAGTTGGAAGCGACCTCAAAGATCATCTAGTTCCAACCCCACTGCCATGGGCAGGGAAACCCTCCACTACACCAGGTTGCCCAAAGCCTCATCCAACCTGGCCTTGAACACCTCCAGGGATGGGGCATCCACAACTTCTCTGGGCAACCTGTTCCAGTACCTCACCACCAGAGGTATATCAGAACTCTCCTCTTTAGATTATTTTTCTATGGTGTTTGTCAGATTCAAGAAGTTACAAAATAGCTAAATTGGTGATTCCTTCGATACTATTTTTCTCAGCTCTGCATACTAGGTTTCATCTGGATGATTTCATCCTCTAGAAACAACATTCCTCTCCAGTACCATGACAGTTTTATCAGTCATCTACGGGATGTTACTGGGGCAAGCAAGTAATTTATGGGATTGTTGCTCCTAACCAATCCTGAACCACAAAACTGTACTGAAAATGTAAAATAGCAAACCGGCTATGAACAGGAACTGTTCTTCAATGTACAGAAGAAAAAGTAGGAATAAATAAAAGAATTAAATAAACACTACATGCTTGACAAATGCTGAAGTGGAATGTGACAGATTAACATGTATGATTGTGCTGCTTTGTTCAATCAAGTGGTACAGAGAAGTTATAGATTACAGGGGTGAGGAGAGAGAG